GTTGTTGTTGTTGTTGTTGTTGTTGTTGTTGTTGTTGTTGTTGTTGTCAGTGTGTTATGATGTTGTGCTGTGGTCCAGTGTCTCCACAGACGATGTGTGTGAGGGTGGCCATGTTTGGAGGTTGCTGTGTTGAAGCTCCATGGATCAGCCTCTCTGCAGCTCTCAGCACCTTCACTGAGCTGCTCTTGTTCTTCACAGGTAGAAGGTGGGAGCTCTCGTCAAATCATCATCTCCAGCATCATCTTGTTCATGCCAGGCTGTTCATCCACTGACCACACACACCTGCAAACATCAGGGGACCAGTTTAACACATCTGGAAGGAAACCAGTGAGATTTAATACGACCAGTATGATATGATGTCATGTGGAGGAGTGGTGGAGCAGAGGTTACAAGATGGGCCTGTGATGGGAAAGTCACAGGTTCAACTCCCGGTACCGTCAACATCAAAATGAGGTGGAAAAGGTGAAACACCCACACCTGCCTCCACCCTCATTGGCCCCACCCTGGTCCCCTGAGCAAGGCACTCAACCCCCACCACCTGCTCCTAAACAGGTCTCTCTTTAAAATGAGTTCTCGTGACTCAGTGAGTCGACCTGGATAAATAAAGATCAATGAAAAATAAAGTTTAAAATAGAAATACATCATGAGGCCCAGGTTGTGTGTGTGACGTGCACGTTCCTGAGAGTGTGTGTGTGTGTGACGTGCACGTTCCTGAGTGTGTGTGTGTGTGTGACGTGCACGTTCCTGAGAGTGTGTGTGTGTGACGTGCACGTTCCTGAGAGTGTGTGTGAGACGTGCACGTTCCTGAGAGTGTGTGTGTGTGATGTGCACGTTCCTGAGAGTGTGTGTGTGACGTGCACGTTCCTGAGGTTGTGTGTGTGACGTGCACGTTCCTGAGGTTATGTGTGTGACGTGCACGTTCCTGAGGTTGTGTGTGTGACGTGCACGTTCCTGAGCGTGCACAGACAGAGCAGCTGCAGCTTTAGTTCACTTCCTGTAGTCCTGCAGTTTTCAAGCTGAAATGAAAAAGCATCATGAAGATGAACTTTACAGTCTCTAGTTACCTGTTCATAGAAACACATGGAGGTGTCTCACCTGGTGACTCACAATAAAATATGTAACTTTATGAACTCTAATGAACTTATAATGATGCTCCTACTCTCTGAAGGTGAACCCATGGTACCACACCATCTCTCAGTCGGACAGTTTGATCAAAATCCTCCAGTTTAAAATCCTCACTGCTCAGATGAATCCTCCTCAAAGATACTTCCTCCTCTTCCTCACATCTTGTTCTTTGGGAAACCTTCAAAATGAAAACAGGACATTTGTGTCTACACAAAAACATTGTACAGAGGAGGTCAAGCTTATTTTCTATTTCCTATATTCTCCCCAGTTTTATTTTTTATTTCCTAGAACTTAAACAAAACTCCAGTTCTGATGCATATCTGTTGATAATGAACCAAAGCTGCTGAAATAGTGAGTATGATTGTTAGCAAAATATTCCTGTCATCAGATCTCAGTCAGCTTCATTGCAGCTGAACACCGTGTTACACTGAACATCACATCAGCTGGTGGACATAAATACAGTACAGTAATATTATATTCACAAAATACTAACAATAATATGTTCATGTTACTGTGAAAAGTTATCCCCCGAGACCTGACGTCAACAGTCGATCTGAACAGAAAGAAGCTGCGAAGTGCTGAGACATCTTCTGCTTTAACCAAATAAGGACGACCGCTCCAAGATGGCGGCCGAAAATCCTGCGCCGCAGCAGCCGATGCGGCATCTAGTGATTATATATCTATGGCCCTCAGTTAGCGTTAGCATTTCTTCCGGTTCAGAGGTCACAGCTGACGGCAGCGACGTTACAGTTTGTTTTCGAAGCTTCCGTGTTTTCAGAAACACGACTTGAAGCCGGGACCGGAAGCAGGTGAGTTCGGTCCGGACTGTCAGAAGAAGTGATGAAACCAGAGCTAAGCAGCTGTTAGCTGAGCAGCTTCTTCACGGTGAACTTTGTGTTCTAGAAGAACCCAATCAGTCAGGGTCCGGTTCCTAAATTAATGGGTTCATCACAGGCACCTACAGCTCTGGACCAGAACCAGTAGCAGGTCCAAACTGGGCTCTTGATTGACAGGAAGGAGGGATGGTGGAACCTTCTGGTCCAGGTTGTGTAAGAAGTGGTGTGAGGTGACGGCTGTGTTTCTCTGCAGACGAGGTCCTCGGCTGTGAGATGTCCCTGAAGGCCACGCTGCAGCAGAGGATCAGCTCCACCCAGGCGCTGCTCCAGCAGGTGCAGCAGCTCTGTCCAGGGGTCGAAGGTCATCAAAAGCTCTGCGGCAAACTGCGCGCTGAGCTGCGCTTCCTGCGACGAGTCGAGTGTGGAGAGCTGCAGGTCAAGGAGTCTCACCTCCACAGCACCAACCTGACCCACCTGACTGCCATCGTGGACTCCGCCCAGAGTCTGGACCACGTGGTGGCTCTGCTCCATGTCTTCACCTACCAGGATGCCAGCGGCCGCCGCCGCACCCTGCTGGTGGATGTGGTGGCCAATGGGGGACACACCTGGGTGAAAGCAGTGGGCAGGAAAGCAGAGGCGCTACACAACATCTGGCAGGGGCGGGGCCAGTTTGGAGACAAGAGCATCATCAGGCAGGCGGAGGAGTTCCTGCAGGCCAGCCGCCAGCAGCCCGTCCACTACCAACACCCCCACGTTGTCTTTGCCTTCTACAACGGCGTCTCCTCTCCCATGGTCGACCGACTGCGGGACATGGGCGTGCTGGTTCGAGGAGACATCGTGGCAGTCAGCAGCGTGAAGGTGGAGGAGGAGGAACTGGCTGAAGGTGACTGGGAGGAGGAGGAAGAGGAGGAACGAGATGGGGAGGAACATGCGTACGAGGAGGCTGCAGCGCCGCACACTCAGGTGGATCGAGGCACCGTGGTCGCCCACCTGGAGTTTCCGCTGCAGGTGGAGGTGGAGGAGTGTCAGCGTGTCAACCTGGACATCACTGCGCTCATCACGTACGTGTCTTCACTGAGCCACGGCCGCTGCCACCTCACCTTCCGCGAGCCCGTTCTGACGGAGCAGGCGGCTCAGGAACGACACGAGAAGATTCTGCCTCAGCTCGACGCCTTCATGGAGGGCAAGCAGCTGTTCGCCTGCCGTGCTGCCGTGCACGACTTCCAGGTCATCCTGGACACCCTGGGGGGGCCGGGTGAGAAGGAGCGCGCTCACATGTTGCTGTCTCGCCTCCACCTGGTGGACGACCAGCCGTCAGAGCGCACGAAGCGCCTCACTCCCAGCGCTAAGATCAACCGCCGCTCGATGATGATCTTCGGCACCGGAGATTCCTTACGAGCCGTCACCATGACGGCGAACAGCCGCTTCGTCAGGGCAGCGGCCAATCAGGGCGTCCACTACAGCGTGTTCATCCACCAACCCAGAGCCCTGACGGAAGGCAAGGAATGGAGGGCCACACCCCTTTGATGAGGTTGTACCATCTAACAAAAACCTCCAGCTTGAGAGGCCACGCCTACATGGTGAAACCACGCCCATTTAAAAAGGCACGCCTATCTGATGAGGCCTCCCTCATGTACCAACAGACCTTCTTTTACCAGGACTCTGAGTTTAGGTTTGTTGATGACATTAAGAAGCTCATGCACAGGAAGTCTGACCTAGGAGTCCCTTCTTTCACAATAAAAGATCTAACTGCACACATATCAGCTGAGTGTTTTTATGATTTTGATTATAAATGTTCCACCAAGTAGGCAAATATTTCAACTGAGTGTAAATCAACAATTATTAGAAAAACTAAAAAAATTAAATATGTAGATTATTTTGAAAGGTTTGGAGGATGAATCAAAATTCAATATACTTTATTAATCCCTAAAGGGAAATTAAATGAAAATGCCGGTAATGATGTGACTTTATTTAATTAAATGCAAAAAACTATTCATCCCCAGGGGAGCAATTGAAAGAGGCACATAAAGCATACATAAAATAGTACAACATAAAAATACATCAGTAGAAGAAAGTCCAATATGCATTAGCAAAGTGCAAATGGGCAATGAGGTCAGTTTTTTTGCAACAAAAGTCCTGTGGAATGGAGCTATGTATGGGGGGGGGGGGATAGGGTGTGAATGTGTACAGCTGCTGCTCATAAAATTAGAATATGAAAAAAATGACTTATTTCAGTAATTTCATTCAAAAAGTGAAACTTGTTTATTATATTCATTCATTACACACAGACTGATATATTTCAAATGTTTATTTCTTTTAAAGTTGATGATTATAAGTGACAACTAGTGACATTGTACAGCTACCCATCCAGGCTGTCACATTGTAAAGTTTGCAGATGATACAGCGGTGGTGGGATGCATCACAAACAATGATGAGTCCAGCTACAGGCA